AAGAAATCTTTTGAGAAACAACAAGAATTTTTAAGTTTACTATATTACAAACAACTAGAAAATAATTATTTGTTAAGTAATATAGAAAATATAGATGAGATACCTTTGTCTTTCGATCTTCCAAATTTAACAACTATAAATTAATATAGATCTCAAACTGTAACAATTAGAATATCAGGTTATGAAAAAAGTAGTTTTACAGTTATTTTAAGATATATAGCAAATGGTTCAAAACTTCTACTAGTTATAATTTTTAAGCTTAAAAATATTCCTCAAAAAAACTTTTCTGATAGGATATTTATATAAGCAAATGAAAAAAGATAGTATAATAAAACTAAAATACATTACTGGATCAATAATATTTGGTTTATTCTAGAAAATCTATCTTGCTTACTTATATTGGATGCATTTAAAGAACATCTTGTAGATCTAATAAAACAAAAATTTAGAGAAAATAATACAGATCTAGCTATAATTCCTAAAGGATTGTCAGGAAAGCTACAATTATTAGATATTAGTATCAATAAAATTTTAAGCAAAAGATATTTTTTAAAGTTTATTTTTATAATTTATATTAATATATTTATATTATATATATTTAAATAGATATGATATAAATATAACAATTAGATTACTAGTGATATAATTAAATTTACACAATCAGAAAAAATTCATAAACCATTTTATTCTACCATTGCAATATGGGTTAAAAATTCTTGAGATGAAATCAATAATATTTCTGAAAATAATAGTATTATAAAATTTGATTATAACAAATTTGAGAATAATAGTAAAGAAATATATTTGGTTTATAATAATATTGACAAACAGAATTATGAAGAAGATGATAGTATTAGAAATGAGTGAAATTAATTAAATCATTATAATATTTAAATACCAACTTTGTAATTTATATTAATATATACTTATTGGCTTTTCCTAAATTTTGCTTATGCTTAAATATTTTGTTTTATTTTTAATAATTAAAATTTTGAGCTATATATATAAAAAAATTACTTCGGTATATTTAAGTATATTATATTAGGTATTTTACAATTAACTATTATATCCAGATATTTTATACTACAAATTATATTATATACTAATTACAGTACCTAGTACGTTTTGATCTCTTATATTATATACTATAAATTATATCCTGGTCTTTTACACCAAAATTACTAAAAAAGAAAATAAGGGTATTATGCTAAGGGGTATATTATTTTGCAAAATATAGTAATACCATACTATATAACAATCAAATTACATAAATTTAAAAAGCTTAGAAAATCTGATTCTAACAAGTTAAATTGAAACTTCAAACAAGAATATTATTAATATATATATAAACCAAACAATATATAAATATTAATATATAAACTATATTAATATGATTCTATTGAAAATATAAATACTATATCTCATCTCTCTAATATTAAAATAATTAATTACACCATATTAATAAAGTAATTAATAAATTAATGACAAAAAATATCTAACATAAATAAATAAATAAAACTAATTTCTGTAAAATAATCTGCAACAAAACCAATTACAATAATATAACCACATAAAAACTTTATTCTATGATATAAATATTTTAAGCCAAAAATAAAAAAAAATCAAGCTAATTAAAAATTAGAGTTTTCAGAATTAATGACTGGGCTTTGACTTTGAATAAAATACGGTAGATGATCTATTTATTTTGAAATAAGTATATATGTTGTATATAAAGTAGCCACCATGTCTAAAATAGCTAGTTTATATATCTAAAGTAGCTACTTTAGATATTTGAGGCTAAACTATCTAAATTGCTACTTTAGATATTTGAGGCTAAACTATCTAAATTGCTGCTTTAGATATTTGAGGTTAAACTATCTAAATTGCTACTTTAAATGTTTAAAGTATACTTAAATTAGCTATTTCAAATATTAAAGTAGCTATTTTAGATATTAAAACTAGCTACTTTAAATATTTATTTAAAATAACAATTTCAATATCTAAACTAGCTATTATTTAAAGTAGCTACTTTAGAGTGGTTATTCCATATGCATCAAATATAAATTCTATTTTATTATTGCAATAGCATCGTCAAAATTGAAAACTTATAAAATTACGAAGTAGAACTTCTATTTCATTTTGAACTTTGAAAGTTAGTCAAGGCTCAAAGAAAGACTAAGAGAATTCCGCATTTCTAATTTAATTAAGAAGCGTGAATATCGATATGGCTTAGAAAATTAGTCATACATAGTGATGTGCAATGCGCATGATTTTTTATAATGCTGGCAAAGCAGTATAATGCTGGTAGGTTATCTAATTGCTATTGTAACCATTGGGAGAGCTTAAGAAAATATTATAGGATAAAGGACAATTTAACTCCAACGGTGTATGGAAAATAAATATAAACTTGGAGATGCGAAGTGGGTCTTTTATAATTGTTAAGGAACTAGTAGGGCGATAGGGATGATAATGGGTGATGCAATGACAGGTGATGCTGTTAAAGGTGATAATAAAGTGGTGATCTTAAGGACTGTGATGGATTACCAGAGTCGAATAACAGTCGTAACTGTCATTCTCTACCACAATTCCCACAAGTCACTAATGTGAATGGCAATATCTGATTCCACAAACGTTCTAGAATCCGAGTCTTAATAAGCCAAATCGAAGATATAAGTCAATTCAAGGGTTTATTAAAGTTACAAGTCGAATTCAAAAGAACAAGACACAAGGGACAATTCAGATATGTATATACACTTTATTATTTATTAGGAATTGAAAGTGGTCATGAACCGTCACTCTTTATTGAATTTCAGGCAATTATATACATTTTGTTTTATTAGAGCGTTTACGCTCAATTTTGAGCGTATACGCTCTTTTTTGAACGTATACGCTCTTTTTTGAGCGTGTTACACTATGCACGAATTTGTTAAACTGGTAAGTATTATTGTTATCACTATAGTTACGTACGTATATGTTTAGTATGTTTGATGTGTGCAAATTATATATATACCGGGTGGGTGAAAAGTCTCTAAACAGGACTCTAAACAGGACTTTTTTCTATCTCCGCTGATATTTAATTCTATTTATTTTTATACCAGATGGGAAAAAGTCTCTAAACAATCCCCTTTTTACTATCTCCGCTAAGATTTATACAACGAAAATATTGCAATGATTACTAATTATAAATGTAAGAATGATGTTAGTGATTAAAAAAACAGGCTCCTGTTTAAAGACTTTTCACCCACCCGGTATATGATTTTTTATATATATTTTAAAGCTAAGAAGCTACTATAATGCAAGCCAGGGCACAAAATTGTGGCATGACGTGTCCTGATATTTTTCCGGCGATCTTTTTATTACAGCTATTATCATTATTTCTGGGACACCTAAAGAATTTTCAGATGACCGAAATATCCTCTGTTTCATTCGGTAAATTACCTAACTTCTCGGAAACTATATCGCTGTCTCCGGACATTCAGTCCGAAGACAGCGATGTAATTTCCGGAGAGCTAGATAATTTACCGAATGAAACAGAGGATATTTCGGTCATCTGAAAATTCTTTAGGTGTCCCAGAAATAATGATAATAGCTGTAAACGGAATTTAGGATCTATAGCCGGAGGTAGTAATGATAGTTATAATAAGTTATGATGTAAGAAAGTGTTAAAATTTCAACAAACGGAAATTTCCGAGTATCAAAAAAACTGCGCCGGAATTTTCTTAATTTACCGGAATCTCCGGTATTTTAGTAGATTTTGTACTCTGATGCAAGCCGAAATTTTTAATAGATTCAGAAATATTCTGAAAACTCATAAGCCATTCCGGAAAATTCCCATGCGCATGAAATTTGAAAAAATCGGGATTTGCACATCACTAGTCATACAGTATATGCTTACCTAATTATTGTTGCTTTGCTAATTTGTTTGAAAAAACTTTTTTGCATAATCGCTTTATTATCTTGTATTATCAAATTATTTGTAAAAAAAAAAAAAATTCTATATAATTGCTTTAATAATAATATAACGATAAGCAGTTGTTATCCGGCAAACTCTTATGATCATAGATTTATTTCTTTTTGTTATTTTTTGGTGTGTTATGTCGTAATCATGTTTATTCGAATTAAAGCTCAGTTAGCAAATCACGACTTGAGGATCATGATCATGAATTGCCAGATAACACAAATATTGAGTCATGCGTTGATAAGTATCGCAAAATTTGTCCAATCGTTAAATTAGTGTTGTTGACTGGAACTCCACTGGAAGCAAATTAATAATTCCACTGGAACTTTTACTATTACAATTTTCCACTGGAAGACTAGAAATTCCCACTGGAAGCAAAAATTAACAACACTGGTGTAAATGATTGGCTGGCATGTGCCGCTGCGCCAATCATTTGCCCGGTTGGACAAATTTTGCGATATTTATCAACGCATGACTCAATATTCTATACTTAATAGCTAATATTATCATACATATATGTATATTATACAGTTT